ACCTCAGATCTCTAGGTTCTTATATATTATTTTTAATAAGTATAAATTTTCTATCATGATCAGTAATAAAAAAAAAAAGGGAGGGGGGAGGAGAGAAACTGCAGTAGCGTCGCTTAATAATGTGGTTATTCAAATAAACTGTTAAAAAAACAGATTTCGTTTTTATTTTCATATAACATTAATCCAAACGTAACAGGGGTGGTAATGCCCCCCCTTCCCTTACTTTATATATACTATTCAGTATTATTTTATACCATAATGTCACAACATTCCTTCAACACATATCTGATGCACAAAAAAATCTATGTTGATGCAAATTTCTAAAAAAATAATACAGCAAAACATGTTCATATCATACCATTTTTAAAAATACGGAAAAACGCGTGGCGAAGAAAATGGTTCCGTTAAGGTCGGATTTATGCGTACCTAACCCTAATCTTTGTGATGACCAACAAAACAAAGAGAAAACTGTTGTAGCAATTTTTACTATTAAGCAAGCATATCATATTTCAGCTGGTGAATGCATGCTAAAACCTGCTAAAAGCTTTTAGTCTAACTCTGATTTCCCAACACAAAAATATGTTACCGTTGATGGAACCTTGAAAACCCGAGGATATTCCTCTTTTAATGGAGGAGTAGCGACAATCATTGATAAAAAAATGTGTTGATGTTGAAGTACTCTCTCAAAATTTTGCCACGGATGTGAAGACACGGATGTGTCTCTTGAGAAACTAAAAAATCAACTCCAGAATACTCAGAATGGTTTGCAAATCGTCAATGCCATTTTTTTTTTTTTTTTTTTTTTTTTTGTAAATTTAATTGTAAATTTATTTGCCTTCAATAAAAAAAAAATACAATTACTGAATAGCTTTATTACAAATGTAATCGGTAGGACTTCCAGAAGATCATACGATCTTATCATGAAGCCCTTAAAATAATAATAATTAATAACAATAAAATCAAATTAACCAATAAAAATAAATTAACATAAACTATATATAACTGTGCATTTAAAATATAAATATACAGGATAAATTAAATGAAATATATAAAACAAAAGAACTAAAAACAAGAGAAAATATTTTCTGCTAAAAAGATAACTTCTTTTAATTTTCGTTTGAAAGAAGTTAAAGTCCATTTCAATGACAAATCAAAATTTGGCAAGACTATTTTACTCCATAAATAAGGACTGCGATAAGAAATAATTAGTTGTTCAAATTTGGTTTGGCAGAAAGGTTCTCGTAGATTTTTTCATTGCAAAGATTGTATTTGTTTATGGATTTTACATTATAAAGGTTTATAAATGCATCAGGAGATAAATGATTTTTACATTTAAACATAAAACATAAAATATTATAAACATTTAGTTCGTATACATTTAAGGCTTTCATTTCTCTCACAAATGGTTTTGAATTAGAAAAACGATTTACAAAATTAATTAAGCGAGCTGCGTGTTATTTTTATGATTGACTGATTTATATTTTAGATATTTAATATACAATTTTTGTTTCACTTTCGATAACTTTTTAAGTCCTTTAGTTATCCAAGGACACGGTACGTCCTTGGCGTTAAGGATTATTTCACGAATAGGGAAGTTTGCGTCATAGTTCGATTTAAATGTTTTAAAAAAAGAACCGTAGATCAGGTTTGTATCATCATCAACACACACACACACACACACACACACACACACACACACACACACACACACACAGGTATCATCATTGAACTTAATATTGTTCCAGTTTTGATTCAAAATTTGTTCTTTTAAAAATTTCAAATTATTTTTGTTGTACACACGCTTTTTTATAGTTGTTTTACTCAGGAAATTTAATTTATAGTTTGTATTTATACAAAAAGAAATAGGTAAGTTATCTGAGACATCTGTTTTAACAATACCTTTTTTAAGCAGCTTGTTAAAAAAATCGTTAGTTAAAATGTTATCTATTAAGGAAGATGAATGATTTGTTATTCTTGTAGGTTTATTTATTATAGGTATTGTTTTCGTTTCAAATAAGTCGTTGTAAAATGTTTTTATGTTTTGGTTTTTATTGTACTCAAAACAGTCCAAATTGAAGTCCCCTATTATGTAATTTTTTTTTTTTCTTGAATAATTTTTTTCTATCAAATTGTGTTTTATAAAAATGCTTTAGAGTTCAGTTCAATTATTAACCATGTTAGTTCTTCAGGTGCTATGGAATCTGCTGAGGCATTCAAGATATTTAACCGCTCAATTGAAAAAAATAACTTGATTTATAATGAATATTTAGAAGATAGTTACACCTCTTCCTTTAAAGATGTAATGGGTAAAGATGTAAAGATGGGTAGTGACTTTAAAGATGTAAAGATGGGTAATGACTTTAAAGAAGTAATGGGTAATGACCCTTATGAAGATTTAAATATTAGGATTACAAAATAGGAATGTATTAGTCGTGTTCAGAAGAAACTGGGCACTAGACTTTTTAAGTTTATAAAGCTTACAAGGGAACAAAAACGCCGCTCCATGGCAACCCTAACCCTGACAGGAATTTTAACCAAATCTGTAATCAATTCTATGCAGAACTTCTATAGCCTAGCCATAAGAAATAATTTTGACATTTTGTATGCTATGAAAAAAGCTGTTGGGACGGTTTTGTTTCACTGTTCAGATTTTGACGACAAGGAATGTCGACACCGTATAGGCCCAAAAGACACTGACACTAGGTGCAAATTTCATTTAGACAAAGTTTATGGTGTAAATACTTATATAGAGCACGTAAATCTTTCTGTTGCAGTCTTTAACATTTTGAAACCAACTTTTATTGATTTATTTTCAAAAAATTTACTTAAAAAATATCTTTATGGTAAGACGCAAAATGCCAACGAGGCACTCAATCAGATTATTTAGAGACGCTGCCCAAAAAATATTTTTGTTGGTAGAACAGTCTTAGAATCTGGAGTTAATTCAACTGTTATTGAATATAATGAATGTCCACATGGAATCCTCTCTTAGTACTAACTAAATTTCAGCTAACAGGATATGTAACATCCATGAAAACTCAATGAAAAGAAAAAAGAAACTATAAAGCGGTCTCTTCAAAAGTTGACTGACTGTCAAAAAGAGAAAGAAAACAACTAAGAACAATTAAAAAGAATCAGAAACAATTAAGTACAATTAAAAAGAGTTATTTAGACAAAGATGATGAAGAAAAAAACTCAAAATATATTCCTGGAGGGTTTTATTATTTATTTATTTTTTTGTTTATTTTATTATGGTTCTATTCTTTTATTTCATATATTTGCAGTTTTCCAAGAATAAAATTTTGCCTCGATTAAAAATTTTTGAAACATGTTAACTTCGTACTCGTTTCAGCTTTTGTTCTAACTTTTCACATATTTAAAAAGGATTCGTATGAGAGAAGGATATTTATAATAAACAAAAAAAAGTACTTTTTTTTATCAGACTGATGTTGACCATTCATTAAACCAATTTTTCCATGCTTTTTTCAAATATTGTAACTTTCTATATACTGTGAATATTAAAATATCCTTTCTCATTAATATATCTTATTGAATATACATACCACTTTTCAGCTGGATATAACAAGTACATTGATTGTTAGCTTGTCACAAAAATTACAAGTTTTTTTAAAAATTACAAAAAATTACAAATTCATTGTTTTAAATAATTGGGTAATCAAGGCTTTTTTTTTTAAGATTTTAAAGATGATTTTTGTACAAGGTTTATAGGACAAATTTTTGGTGAAAAAAATTAAATCGATGACCCTTTGCAATTAAAAGTTAGCTTTTACTGTGGAGGACCACCTTAACTGTTAGCAATTATAATTATTCAAAACAAAAAATTCACCTTAAAAATGTTTACTCTAAAAAGCATTTAAAAATTTATTTGTAGGAGAATAGTTGTCTTTGTATTTCGCCAAAATTCTTATTTTGAAACACTGTTACCGAATTTTTTAAGTTAAAAACGTAATAAAATTTTAGCTGTTAATTTCTTCCGCGCAAACATCAACATTAAATTAACTATTTATTGAGATTTTTGCTTTAAAGTTTGCAATATATTAGTTATAACCAATTAATGTATAATTGTTTAAATCGACTTTTCTGCTCTTCTTAAACACCCTTACTCTTGGTCCGCCGAAACAGGTTATGATGCTCTTTAAAAACTTTGTTTAAAAATGATAGTTGATTTAAACATCTGTTCGTTATTTACTTGAAGCTAAATTATGTCATTGATTTTAGTCTGATTTTGTAAAATTATGATTTATTCCAGCTTTAAAACAACGATGAAACAAAGGCAAAGTAAAGTATTGCTCAAAGTAATTACAAAGGACTAGAGTCACTCTTTGTTAAGTCTCTTTGAAAATTTTAACAAGATTCCCTCATTAATAGCTCTGGATGCTAAATTATTTTTTTATGTATATAGTTCTGCAAAAAACACAAAATATTTTACGAAGTTTAGAGGGTTTGGTGCTATGTCGAACTTCGAAAGAATTGAGGGTAATAGAAAACTATCTAAATATTACTTACCACCTATGTGATTAAGTGACGGTTACGTAACACTTGTTTTATTAGTGTTGTAATACTGTTGTTAATGCAACGTTAAATTAGTGTTGATACGGTAATTAAGATATATATATATATATATATATATATATATATATATATATATATATATATATATATATATATATATATATACACTTATAGTGTAAACAGAAAAAAATTAAAAGGCTTTTTCTCAAAGTGATCATTTTAGATATAGTATATACTTTACCTCCGATACGCAAATGCATAAAAGAAGGCAATGACAAACGATGATATTTGTTTAACCGATAAAAATAAATATAAGCCAGTCTACAAACAAATTTTAAAAATAATCGATTAACTCAGATTTAGGATTGGTAAACTACACTAAATTTTATAAATTTAAATTGTAAAAACGCGAGCATAATAGGATTTAAAATATAAAAATAGGCTTATTTTCATAAAAAAAGAGAAAATACAGAAATATTAGCCACATATTTAACATTAAAATTACAAAATAAAATTTAGAACACAATGAAAACTTATAAATAACTTGACACCAATCCCAACTTTTTATACATACACCCTTTATGTTCTAATTTTGAATCAGCTTAAGGGCATCAAACTAAAACATTAAACAGTACTGTTTGGACTATTTGGATTATACAAAAATATATTAGACTCTACACCAGTCTTTTTAAGTTCTAGCAAATTTTACACGTAAAAATCTTTCGATGAGAACTTTATTTTGCAAAGACTATATAAATACGGTGGAATAAATTAGTCTATTTTAACGGTGGAATAGATCTTGGTTACAAAATAACGTGTACCGACATATCCAAATGTACCTAGAGAAAATATAAACACGTTTTATTTTATCCGACGTTTTATGTAAACACAATAAATATATTTATTATAATATTAAACAGTTACCATTTACCTTAAAGACATGACTTTATTAAATAGAACTGAAATAGAACATTTAAGCGCATGTTTATTGCTTTTTAATAACATTGAATTTTACCAATGCTTTACAAAACGATGGAAGTAGGATTCAATCTTTTGTTTGTTAACGTTATATTGATATACATTAATGATTTTTACACTTAATAGTTTTACAGAAAGGTTTTCTTCCAATTACTCAAAAAATAAAATTAACTTTTTTTTGATGTTTTTTGTTGAAACAAGCGTAATGATATTATCTTGATAGATGAACTTCACTGCAGCTGTTTAGCGCAACAATACTAACAATAACAGGTTCCGATTAGACAGAACAATCAGACTGATACTCACCGGTATCGGTAGGTACCATTTAAAGCTAACTTATGCAACATTTATCGTTTTATGTAATCGATCCCCTTAATTAGATATTAGGTACAAAGACTTTTAGAAATTCTAAAAGCTCAGAAAATTATTAGAAATCATGCTTTATAAAAAATAAAATTTAATTAAAACAATAAATTATTTATAAAATTTAAATACCGCCCAGATTTTTCCTGTATAATTATACCTTCTCGTATTTATTTTTTGCTTCTAAAAAGAGCCCCGAAACTCTTTAAGGCTACTTTAGATTAAAACAAAGCCTTAGACTTTCTTATTGAATTTAAATCAATAATCAGTAAATTTTAAATAAGAATCATGGGCTAAATAAGAATAATAGACTATAATTTCGTCATGGAATCATGGACTAATCATTGTATAAAGTATAATAATTTTATAAATTGTATAAAGAATAATCATTGTATAAAGTAGTTAACAAACCATGGGAACAAGATGGGTGGAGGGGGGTAAACTCTCATATCAAATGCTTCAAATATCAACACAATACTTCCTTGGAGCTGACAAAAACATAAATATTTAGTCATTATATGTGATAAAAATATATATTTAATTATATATGATAAGGCTGAAGGAAAAATCAATATTTTGATTCTTCTAGGTGAATTTTTTTTTCCTGCTAGATTAAGAACTTACGAAGGAAAAAAAAGGTAATTTAGCAACTGTTATAAACAAATTACTTTAAAAAAATATATATAAAGAATTAGAAACTGGTTTTCTTTTCCACCGAAGTGTTGGTTTATGATTTAAGAATTTTTAAAAATATCCTATATTGGTAAATAAATTTTCAGAAAGAGTGTAAATTTAAAAAAATCTATTCTGAGAATCAGAAAGAGAAATTTTTATAGTAATAACAGAATAGTATTGCTAAATAGGTTTTTAAAGTGATTCATCCCAGTCATCCCAGGTTACATGTCTTGTATATAAATCTTTTTTTAAAAAATGTATAAATTTAAAATTCAAATAACTTACCACACATAACACCTAAGGCAATACTAAACAATCCCATATAACCAAAATAAAAGACTATTTGAAAGAAACCATACATTCTAAAAGAAAATCATCATTAATGACACATGAAATGCATAGATTTGTAATACAAAATTACTTTAATCTACACATTTTTTAAAACCTCTCTAAAACTCGCTATGTTTAGTATTTCAACTTTTATATTGATATTAAAAATGAAACTTACTTGGTTTTGAAAAAGAAATAATAGAACGAATAAAAATAAACATAAAGAGCTGTTGAAGCAGCGGATAAGAAGCTTGTCCATTGCCTAAAAAAATTCTTGCTCAAAATTTTTTGCCTCTTAGATAAATATATGCACTCTAAAAGAAAGGTGGAAACTCCTACCTTAAGGTAGGATATGTGATATACCAACCCCCATGGTATATCAAATATCCTATCCTAAGGTAGAAATTTTTACTTTTTAGAGTTGACAAAAACAACTTAAAAAAATAATGAATAATTAAAAAACTTATTTCTTCTGAAACTAGATTCTAAACATAAAAATTGTTTACTAATAAAAAACTTAGATTTAAATTCATACCATCTATAATCTTCAGCATTAAGGAGAAAATAAGAACATACAATTGTGACACATACTGTAACAATGGCCAAGATAAAAAAGACCAATAACATAAAACCATAGACATAGTAAATTTTGTATGCCCAAAAAGAGGTGAATATAAAATACATTTCAATAAATATAGAACCAAATGGAAGAATTCCTCCTAAAAATATAATAACCCCAGGTTCCATAAACCATTTTTTCTCTGGGATAGGACGAACAACTGGATTTACACGACATGGATAATTTGGTTGACCATGTATATTTCTACCAAGAACAGTTCCAACTAAAGTAAGTGGCAAAATAACAAATAGTACAATTGCTGTAATAGCTACCATAGTTCCAAAAGGTATAGCCCTTGATGCACCATAATAAATAGCAACAAAATTAATCATAAGTGTTGCAGAGCAAACAACTGCTGGAAGAAGGAATGCTCCAATAAACATCTGACGTATCCATTTTTTTCCACCTAATTTGGAATAAAGAGCTCCTCCAAAAAATCCATTAATTGGACTAGTAGCAGCATAAACAAATATGATTGTTGTCATTATAGATCCACGACTAAAAAAATCAAAAAATTATTACCACAGCAGACATTAATAGATAAATTTTTTCATTATTTTTTAAAATTTAAAACAATATCACACCCAGTATATAAATCTCCCATGATAACAAAAACTGTGACAACAATAGTTACAGTAGCAAGATGATAACCAGTACCAATTAGTGCAGATAATAAAGAAGGCAATACAGGAGCTCGAAATACATCACCATGTACTTGTTTCCAACCATATTCATCTCCCAAATCACGCTCCTAAAAAAACCACCTTATTGCAGTTGTAAACAAATTATCTTTAGTTGGGTAATTAAGTTGTTAAATACAAAATATGATAAAGAATAAAAATGGTTCTATAATAAAAAATAAAATAATTACTTAATTTTACTTCATCTAAAATTAATCTTACTTCATTTAATTTATCAATTTACTTTCCTCTATTCTATAAAGTTGCAAAAGTTTTTTTTTAGATTTGCTTTAACATTGCATTAGTTAATTTAACTTAAACATTAGCTATAAAAAAAAAAAAAAAAAATTAAGAAAAAAACGATTAACTAAGAAAAAGAGGTGAGGGTATATTAGCGTCAATTTTATTTAATGCAAAGCTTTTACAAAAATTAATGTTCAAGCAAACATTTAATAATATTTCACAGAGAAATATTGTATAATTACAGGGTATAATTTGTTCATAAATAAAATGAAAAAATCATTAAAAATTAGAAAAAGTGCAGAGTGCTTTAAATAGTTTACAGACATACACAACATCAATATACGATCATTAATTAAAAATAAAAAAAATAAAAACCATATCATCAAGATCATCTTCCTTGCTGTATCGAGCATAATCTTTTCTTAAAGTACGCATTAATATCATGCTGACCAAACCAACCAAAAAAATAACCATCATAAAAGAATTGAAAATGGAAAACCAGTGTATCTAATAAATATATGTGATTTTATTTTGTTGTAAATCAAGAATAATATTCTTTAAAGTTACTTAGAAATTACTTTTCTTAAATATTCCAAAAATTTGTTACTAGAAAAACTGTAAACATTATTGAAAATCTCAGAATGGTTTTTAAATATTTTTATGACTTCAAAAAAAAAAAAAAAAAAGTAAGTACAAGAGAGAAACACTTTCACTTTAATTAAATTTGTAAACTTCTAAAAATACAAGCTTCACTTAGTATCCCAGGGTGCTTATTTGTCAAACTCTTTTACCTCCCATATGTTCATTAATTTTTTGTAACTACACACACGCACACACACACAGCTTATAAATATAAATTTCAATCTGTCCAGTCTGCAAGAATCTGCAACAAATTAAATCCATAACAATAAAATTTTAGATTTTCAGTACAGGTAATCAAAACCTTGACCAAATTTGGCTAAAAAAAAATTATTTTCAAAGAAGGGCTATATTATGAAATATTATGTAATAAACCTAATTATAACTACAGTTTACAAACATTTTAAATTGACATCTTTCTAAATGCGAGAATAAAACATATACAAATATATATACTTTAATCTCAAATTTAAAATGTTATTTTAAAATAAACTGTTATTCAATACTTTAAAATATAATAAACTTACTTAAAAGCTAACAAAATTATTAATAGCTTATAAATAATATTAATCTATTTAAATATTAGGATATATCACATGACCTAAGATAATTGTTTTCAAGCCATTTAGTTAGTTTTTATAGCTAAAAATAAGCTAAAATTGTTATAAAGTCATCAATAATCAGAGATATAAACAAAAATACAACTACATCATAATAATATAATGTGTTATCAATATATCAATCAAACAATAAAACTAAATATGCATCGTAATGTTATGCCATTTTTAAGTTATACCAAAATATAGGCAACTCATACAAAATGCAACATTTCTATTTTGTGAATACTACTTATCAAGAAGGAAAAGTAAAGAAAAGCTGCAAAAATGTTAGCTATTGAAAAATTACTGCAAAAGCATTTTATATGCTATGGATATGCAACCCTCTGCAATAATTATTAGCCTTGATAGTTCTAGAATGGCTTTATTTCTTTAATGACCTTTGAAACAAAATTATAAAAACACGAACTTTAAGCATTAAAGATAAAACTTACTCTGTGTTGAAAAAATCCTGGATCCAAATACTTTTTATATCTATCTTCAAAACTTATATCAGATTTATGCCAATGTACCTAAAAAAGTTAAAGAAAGTTTTACATTCTGAAGTTCTGTCTGAAAAGTTAGTTAAAGTAAAAAAAAGGGTTTTAAATTTACTAAAGCTATATTAAAATTGTTAAAAACTATAGTTAAAAAGTGTTTAAAAAAAAATTTTGCTCTTAAACACTAATAGGGAATTAAATCACCAGTGCATATTTTTATATGTATATTTTGCCATGCATAAATGAAATAAAAATTAAATCAAAAAAATATAAACTAAATTTTTTTTGTTTGTAATTTAAATTTCTTTTTACTTTTAATTCATAAAGATATTCATAAAGATATTTGAAGAACTTTTTTTGATAGTTTTATTTTTAAAGTTTTCATAAGTTTTTTCTTTTAAATGCTAAAAAGTATGAAAAAAGTATGATAAGTAATTTTGTAAATATTCTTCTTATTATTTTCAACTTTATATACATGTATATTTTTGTTGTTGCTTGGAAAAAAGTTTAAATTCTTTCTTCATTGTTTATTATAATTTGCTTGATTGTTATAGTTGTTAAAATTGAATTCATTTTTATTCAAAAAATAGTTTTACCAGATTATAGATTTTTTTATATTATTATATCAAGGCTTCTTAGGTGATGTGTGTGATCACACGCCTTTTATAATGCGTACAATTTTTTTTGTTTGACAACTTGGCTATGGTTTTTTGCATATATTGATAATTTGCATATTTTTTAAAAATGTGCTGATAAAAACTAATTTAAAAAGAATATTAAAAATTAATAAACCATAAACTGAAAAAAAGAAACAAACTTAACAAATAATAAAATAAAAAAAGGATTAACCAGAGAAGATTAAAGCATAAAACTAATATATTTTTTAATATAGTTTAATTTAGTTTCTTCAAATATCTTTATGCTTTTTTTCTTTTTACTTCACAAACGCCAAAAAAGTTATAAAACAACTAAAAATAGAAAAGTTTTTTATTTTGGAAATTCAATCAGATGGAGATTTCAAATTAATAATTTCAAAGAAATTCAATTAGATGGAGATTTCAAATTAACTAGAATTAAGCAGTTATAATAAAATTCTGGAAAAATATTATTATATATAAGAGACTTGTTTACTTATTGTATATAAGGGACTTATTGTTATTGTATACAAATTGTTACACATACAAATTGTTATTGTATATAAATGATTTGTTATTATATATAAAGGATTTACTGTTACTGTATATAAGGGACTTATTGTTATTGTATACAAATGACTTGTTATTGTATATAAAGGGCTGGTTGTTATTGTATGTAAAAGACTTATTGTTATTGTATATAAATGATTTGTTATTATATATAAAGGATTTACTGTTATTGTATATAAGGGACTAATTGTTATTGTATATAAGTAAAAATGTGAGTTCTGTTTGAAAGCAGTTAGACTAGCCTGTACTAATTTGAAAACTGTTGGAATGAACTAGCTTGTACTAACTTTAAACAATCAATCTTTATGCAAATTAGTGACTTCCAAGGTTCAAATATTGTTAATTATGAAACATGGAGAATTTAAGGTTCAAAAAATGTGTTTTCATAACTTAATCGAATCAACAGTTTTGATTGTTTTTTATTTTTCAGCATATTTGTCTTTTTAATGCACAAATTGCTTATAAATTATCTCTAAATAAATTAGGTTACTAATAATCACTAACACTAATTAGTTTACAAATTATATATACCATAATGGAAAAATCAAAATTACCTCATATGAAAAAGAGAGTTCCATTCCTTTCTTTAAAGGGACCTTGTTTTCGCTTGTTACATTTACTTCAACAATCTAAAATATTCATTTAGTAAGACAAAAATAATAAAACCATGACATCAAAATTTAATATAAAATTAAACATCAACATTTAATGCCTTGACATGGTTAAGGAATTAAATGTTGATGTCCAAAAAAGTCCAAGAACTATTTTAATATGCAACAGATTTGAGCCAAAAATCACATTTTACATCTTTTTCAAAACAACAAGTGTTATTCATTTGGGTTATATTGAAAAGGGAGACAAAGCTATTATATCTCAAATAATAATGTCATCATAAATTTGACTTGAAGTTGTAGTCAGAACATGTAATAACTAATTTATCAGGTGTTAACTTGCAAAGATTCGATAGCAATTGTAAACAATTTTAACTTGTAATTTGTTTTATTAGTGAATACCAATACATAATAAATTACAAAAACACTCTATATTAAAATATTTTAAACATCTGCAAATGTATAGCTACATTTCAGCATTTATACATTTTCCCATCAATCTTGGGAACATTTGATTGGTCATCATCAATCTAGGGAACATTTGATTGGTCAACCATAAATTTTGAATTGAATCTTGAAATTTGAATCTTAGTAAATATTATGACTAGTAATTTTAAGATAAGGCCTAAAATTCATTTTAAGATTAAACACCAATATTAATTTTTCAAAATTAGTTATGAAATGATTGTTTTTAACACTATACTTTGGAAATGAATTTTCAAATAAACAATGTAAAATAAAAGACATTATAGGTTTATGAGTTTAGGTGATGGTGATTAGCAATTTAGAACTAAAATCTTATTAAATTTTTTAAAAAGTCTTGATTAATATGGATCACAAGCATCAGTAAAGGTTGCATTGAGGCAAATAAATTTAGTCTTAAAGTCATAAAAGCCAAATAGGTCTAATAGCTAAGTACCCAAATCAAGATAAGCATAATAACACCTTATGCAGTATTTTTTTTAGATCTATAATTTCCTGCAAAACATTTTTTGGACTCATTTCAGTAATTTAATTACTAACTAATAACATTTATTTTAAATTTAATAAAAAATTAAACATAATTATAGAGCTTTTTCATGTGAAAGTAGTGAATTTATTTTATGAGAAAGCAGGCTTATAACTTATCATCTCAAACTTTCTTTATAATTTGTCAAATGTTACCTTTGTCACAGTTGGTTTTTGAGATATTGTTACTTTAAAATCACCAATTTGAAGAGATTTTTTTTAGCTTTATAACCATCTTGGTTTTGGTTTCTTTTTTTATTTTCAGATTATTATACTAAACCAAATTGAAGATTGTATTTCACTTATAGTCCATCTAAGAAAATATAACTAGCCCACTCTCAGCCCACACACACACACACACACACACACACACACACACACACACACACACACACACACACACACACACACACACACACACACACACACACACACACACACACACACACATATATATATATATAGCCCAAATCAAAACCCTTGACAAAAGTCAAATTAGCTTAAATTAACTCCTCACTGTTCTACCTATTTGTCAGTTGATCTAGCAGCACACCTCACATATTCTACCTATTTGTCAGTCAATGTAGCAACGGTTATTGCATTTTCTACCTATTTTTCAGTCAATGTAACAGTACTCTTTGCATGTTCTACCTATTTTTCAGTCAATGTAGCAGCACTCCTTGCATTTTCTACCTATTTATCAGTTAATGTATGTAAACAGTAAAAAAATACAAATAAAAACATTCAAAATTTTTTTTTTAATTGATAAAAAAATAAAAAACATTTGGTTCTATTAAATTGTGTTTTTGTGGTTTTTAAAAAAATCATTAAATTTAATTAGTTTCCTCAATTAAACTTAATGGTTTTAGTTGTACTTGCCACTTTTAAAAACAAAGAATTGTTAAGAGCCAATTATTTTATAAACATCAATAAATACAAATTTCTCTTGATTATTGTCCCTCATCTAAATTGTCTTATTGTCCTCATCTAAATCATCTTATTGTGCCTCATCTAAATTGATACTATTTTGTTTAGGGGCACATTGGTGGTACTGTATTTCAAGTACCTCGCAAACTTTCTTATCAAATCTTTTAGCATCAACTTTTAGAGTTCTGGAACTGTCCCAATTAGTTTGTTATGCACAGGGTCTCATGTGTGTGGCTAATTCAGATCATTCTGTTTTATTTCCTATTGTATAGTTTTTGTGTTGTTGCATGCGTGTTTATATTTTCATTTTTGTTTCACCTATATACTTTTTGCTACAATGACATTTAATAAAGTAGACTCCCGGGTGGCTGTTCATTTGTAGTTTGGATTATAGATTATTTGTAGTTATGGATATATATAATATACTTAGGTTGGTAAAAAAGTTAATAGAACTCTATTACAAAAAAAAAATTTTTAGTTTATTAAATGTTCAAAATAATTTCTTTTCAAGTCATTTGTCAAAGGTCTATTAAAACTCTTCTTAGGGTATACTCTGAAGTAGCTTCATTATGCAGTTTTTTGGTTTTTGACATCAGTATCGTCAATAAGATTTTTTTAATGTCCAATAGCCAATAATTGGATGGTGAGTATGGTGGGTGGCAAATTATTGCGATTCCAGCTTGGTTAAGGCAGTTTGAGTTACATGGGGTCAAGCATTATCATAGAGAAATTTAAAGTTGACTGACACTAGAGAAAGCTAGTGTTAGTCGACTTGTGTCCGACTTGTCTTAAACAAAATCACGACTCATCCCTTATATAAATACCACATAGTCTCCATGGGTCGTTTCTAAAAAGGGCTTCTGTGGGCTTCGACTCATCCCTTATAATAATATCACATAGTCTTCATGGGTCGTTTCTGAAAAAATCTTCCTTATATGCCTTAACTCTTTTTTCGATTTTGATTGGTTAACTCTCGGGTTATCCAACGTAATATAAGTTTTCTTTTTTTAAGAGTTTTGTGAACAATTTTATTGATTGTAAAATGATTAATCAATGTCAGGACTTCAATTATATCATGTGTTGCATAGTAAACAAGGATCATCTTTAAAACTCTCTCTACCATATTTATATAAAGTAGCCCACTTGGCAATTCATTGTTGGTTATAGATTTTGCTGAAATTCTGAGTAGAGCATGGGTTTTAGTATATGCTCAATATTTAAATATTTCCATTTTTCATTTAAACATGTTTAGTAAAATTTATATATTTTTTAAAATGTGAATTCAAAATATTTTTAACAAGTATTTAAAATGCTCATGATTGAACAAAGTTTAAGATGATATATAAATATTTAATTATTTTCTGTCTTTATGGGCAAACTTTTGTAACAACCTAAGTCCATATATATATATATATATATATATATATATATATATATATATATATATATATATATATATATATATATATATATATATATATATATATATATATATATTTATAAAATATATGTATGTAAATTAGATTGTTAGGTTAGTATTGCTGAATTCTGACCCTAATTCCAAAGGTTGGTTTTTGAAAATTGGAACCACAAGATACCAGGTTTAAGTGGGAAATAACTTTAGTAACAGACACAGGATTAACTTGAATGCAAAACAATAAAAGAGGTAATAAGATTGGACTTTTATATTAGAGATGATATTATAGATTTGCCTTTTATTAATAACATTTTTAAAGATTTTTAAAAGTCCCTAGATTCTAATTTTGAGATAAGATATGAGATTAAAGAATCTGTAAATAATAAACCTTAGTACCTGAAAATATCTTTTTATCATCAATATCTTTCAATAATAAAAAGGCACTTGTTCTTAAGGGAGTTGGTTTTTCAGAGAGTGAGATTTGAAACCATTAAGAGGAAATAAAACTTTCCATACTTGCTTGAATCCAGATTGTAAAAAAAAAAGAAAATTCTCAACAGAAATTTTCAAAGATGAAAGACATAAGCCCAAGCACCATCACAAAAACAATAACAGTCAGCCGCAAGGGAGTAGTAAGAAGGACGATGATAGGATGAATCTGATGTAGGAATATTGCTTGGTAAAACAAAAGATAAAAGCTTAATTAAACTTTTATCTTTTTTTTGTTTAGTTGGACATGCTCTAGCTTGTCAGCTAAAGCAATTATTATTAGATTTACAATAGACTTCTGGAGTTTATCTAAATAAGAAAAGGCATTGTATTGCATAAAAGGATACATAAGAGATTTATAAAAGTATACAATGAAAACAAGAGTATAAAATTGGCGAGAACAAGACAAGACTAGCAAATTAGCAGATACTAATTTTGCAATAGATTTAATATATGCTTTTAATAAGAGGTGAGTATTTAAAGATAGTCCAAGAAAAAGTAGTAGTAAATAGTAGTAGTGAATAGTAGTAGTAGTAGTAGTAGTAGTAGTAGTAGTAGTAGTAGTAGTAGTAGTAGTAGTAGTAGTAGTAGTAGTAGTAGTAGTAGTAGTAGTAGTAGTAGTAGTAGTAGTAGTAGTAGTAGTAGTAGTAGTTTAATAATTAATGCACTCAAATTTTAATTTCTCAAGCAGCAGACAAAAATTGCTTAAAGTTTATTGTTTTATATTTTTTTCTTTAAAAATATAAAAAAAATTTAGTAAGTGGTAGATGTTTAATACTTTATAACTTCTTATCGTAAAATTGTAAACTTCTATAAAAAAAAATTATTTTTCTTTACTAAGTTTCTATTAAGTTTTTAATAAAATTTAAATTAAAATTACCAATGGTAATACAAACTTAGTTCACTACTTTCTTATGGAACACCCATATAATAAAATTTCTCAAAATGAAGAAAATAAACTCTTTGCTATGCTTACTGTCATTTCTACACAAAATGTTTATAAAATTTATAAACATTTTGTGTAGAAAAATTAAACTTAAAGAGAAAAAAGGTTTTAAATCTGAAAAACACAGGGGCAGTGTTGGCAATTTTGTGACAATTTGTTACAGGAGGAGGAGGAGAAGGATATTTAATTTTGTAACATAAATTTATGTTTTTAGTTTCAAATCTAGAAAAGCCTTTCTTTTAACTAAAAGATATCTAGCCAAACATATACCCTCAGTTGATGTATGTACACTCAACTTTTGCTATTCCAATTTAACTAAAATGGCAATTGACTTTTTAAACTGACTTGAATTTTATTGGAATTAACTTTTAAATTAACTTAAATTTTAGTTGATTAAACTTTATTAGTCAATGATATAGCTGAAATACTATCTATGAAAAAATAATACATTTTTTACTCTAATTCACTCCCAACTAGGCTACAAGCAACCACTTTTAAGTTAGAATATACTAGAAAACAAAGAATAGAGTTAAAGAACAAGAAACAGTTAACAGAAGTCTTTCAAAGTTTAAGGTTGTATAATCCAGGAAAACATAAAGATAGAGTTGAAGTACATTGAAGTGCAGGGAAAAAAAACCATTGAAGTAAAGGGAAACAAACTAAACAAATAGAAGAAGAGCATGGTGGGAAAGATACAGTAAAAGGATGCAACTTTGTCAAATGACAAGTCAAACGAGAATGAGCTTTGATTGATGGAACTAGAGATAGTAGTTTGTTTAACAATCTATTTGTAGAAAAGAGAAGGAGATGCAAACTTCCAACAATACGAGAGTGGCCTAAACTTACCAGATACGGTCCAAGTACACTTACAATGCATTTTTGGACCTTGCCTGGAAAAGAAAAAGCATCATCTAAAAAACCAGTCCATATATTACAATAGTATTTCATACAGGAACAAATAAGAGATTTGTAGAGATAGAAAATTGTAAAGTTAGAAGTAAGATAATGGCAAGCATAATAAGGAGTAGTAACCTTAGCAGATAATAAATTTGCAATTGATTATATACGTGGTTTCATGTAAGATCAGTAGTGAATGATAATCCAAGAAGACATAAAGAAGATGACTCAATGAGAGGGTAACCATTCATTAATATAGGAATGTCAACTAATTGCGATAGCTGTTTGCAGTAAATAAATGAGTTTTGTTGAAGTTAAAATTTGAAAGTTACTGTAAGAAAGTTATTCAATCCACACTATTTCCTTGGTAGTACTGTGCTAAACTTGTTTCTTCGCACAGCGGTCTTGCTCACCAAGGTTTTTGTTTCAGAATTAAAGAGCTAAGAGAGGGTTGTGACCACAATAAAGTAGCCTCCTCAACTGTAGTCAGCCCCTCTTGGCCTTAGAAAGTTCAAAAAAAAAACTCCAAGCTGTAACAGAAGAGATCTGATTTAAGATCAATAATTGTTAAATAAAAATAATAATATAATAATTTAACAACAATAGCTGTTAATATGCATCAACATAAAATATTATAATGTTAATATAACCTACACCACTAATTGAACCCTGCATCTCTGTATTTACATTGACATGTCCGCAGCACTACACTAACTTAATGCTACTGAAGTTATTAAAATTATATATTTATCAAAAATTAAATTTGTTCAGAGGTTATTTGCCTATTTAGTCATTAATTTGTACTACTTTAGTGCAAAAAATAATAGGTAGACTGCCTAAAATAATGCTGAATAACAAATAATGCTAAACGTAAGCTTTATTTGTGCGCATAAATAATTTTCTCTTACTTGTATGCACAGACTAACAATTTTTTCTTATTTGTATGTGCTTATTTAAACATGAATTATCATTAATTATTTTGACAATTCAGTGTTATTTAATTTAATGTTTTTTTTAAAAAAATTTATATTAATTCATAAACACCATAATTAAACCCTACTTAAATAAATATTGAAACTTTTCTTTTAATTAAAAGAATACCTGCCCAAACCGAAACCCTCAGTCAGTGTATGTACAACCCACTGTGCTAGAGGGGGTACAAATTTTTGCATAATTTTAGGAGATGGGTTCAGTAATACATCACAATTTGTTACTAAGAGGGGGAAGCGAGGGACCCAAAACTATCAGAAATTGCCTGACATAATTTAAGGATGACCCACTTATATATATTTAATGTATTATACTACATTCAAGTAGGGTTTCCAGTTTGAACATTTTCAGGTTCAAACGTTGGGACTTTTTTTCTCTAAAAGTTCAAACATATATATATCAAAATTAGGTTCTTTATTATAATTTTTTAACATTTAAACCAAAATATTTTTTAAACTGAGACTTTTTTTAGCTTTTGTTACTCTTAATTTTTGTTGCGCAATACCTTTTTTTTTTCAAAAGCAACACTTTTAAAGTTTAAGTCAAAAATGAAATATGTTTACAAATGACTTCAAATGTTACTTTGAAGTTTTAAAACCAAAATAAATACATGCGTTACACATTTTTAATTGTTAAAGAAATCCTATGGTGATACCCATAAAATAGATCACTAAAAAAAATTCTGAATTAAAAAAAATAGACAAGATAATATAGCTTTGACAAGCTAATAAAAGTTTTAGATAAACAAAATAAAAAAGATCAAAGTGTAAACTCTGTAGAACTATTTTCAAAACACCTGGCTCAATAACAACAGCTATTACATGCGCCCGTGGCTGACGCAAACATTACTGCTGCCAAGATGCTGTGAATTAAAAATTTTTAATTCACAGCATTCAACTATCAGCTATTGATGATTAGAGTCAACTATCAGCTATTGATAGAATCAGCTTTCACACCATTGCTAAAAGTAAAACTTAGCAATCAGCATTTCATATCCAGGGATACTAAATTACTCAAAGTCTTCCAAAAAACCATTCGCAATCTTGTCATTAAATACTTCAGGTTAGTCAAGAAACAAGTTATAAATTCTTTGAAAACAAAACTTGTTCATGCAATTAGTGAAGATTCTATTCTATTATTGAAACTTGAATATCAAGAAACTGTGGCAAAAATAAGAAAATTGGTTAAAAAATTTCGTAGATCACCAGTGAGCAATGACAATGAACTTCAACCAAAACATAATTTAAAAGTTTGAAAAAAAAAAAAGCTTTGATTTGTGATTAAAGGACAAGATGAAGCAATACTGTTGATATGCCTGAATGTTTTTTGAAGGTGCAAACAGAAATAAAAATAGCTCTGATTGGTATGAATATTAATTTTCCTCTAATTAAAAATGAACTTAATGTCCTGAAGCGGATTTACAATTTTGCAGCACATAGGCTATGAAAAATTTGCCACCCCTACATGTAAAAATTACTGTATTAGGTCAAGAAAGGATTACACACTAATTTTTTAACTATGAATTTAATTGAAACAATTATAATGTAATGATTAATAGAAATAAAATAAACAAATTAACAGAATAAATATCCTCTTAAAAAAATAACAACAAAACAAACTCCAAGACTTGGTAAAAATCACAATTTGTTGAAAACATAAACTAAAAGTTAATCAAAACAACTTTCAAACAAAAATTAAAAAATATTTACAGAAATTTGTCGCCCCAAAAAATTTGCTGCCCTTGGCTATTGTTTATCCAGCCTATAGGTTAATCTGACCCCGTAGCATAATGTAAAGCAGCATAAATGAACTTTATGCTGCTTTAAAACCACTAAAATTGGCCATTAATACTCTTTCAAAAGGAGATGCTGATCTTTTGTATTCTAAAATTGTGACTGAATTTACAAGAAAAAAATTTCATGAAGCTGATATTCCTTTAAGTAAACTTGTTATTAAACAGATATTTGAATATAGAATAATTGAAAAAAGAAACATTCATTTAACACATCTCATAAAGTACTTGTCAAATCCGAATATTATAAATAAAGATGACCAATTTGGCAACAAAATTAAATAAAACAAATACATTAGAACCCCATTAATTTGTACTCTGAACGGGTATATATATTTTGTCCAACTTAGCAAATGTCTGAGTTTAGCAAAACTTTTAGTATGTATAGAGAATTCAAGGGGAATTGAAAACTTGTCTGACTTAATAAAAATCCAACTTATCCAGGGTCCAAGTTAACAGGATTCTACTGTACTAATCTTGCTACTAATCTAATTTAGAGATTTTTCAGTCATCTGGTGATAGTTCTGATGATGATAAGGAAGTAAATAATGATAGCATAACTTATAAAATTAAAAATTAAAAATGAACTGAATTTAGCTCAACAACCTAAACTTTTTATTGAACAATTAGACACTCAAATGAAACTTGACTATCAGGAAATTGGAACAAACATTGTTCAAAAGAAAATGGCTGTTTTTGAAGCTAGCAAAGCTAGGCAGTAGTATTTAGATTTACTTTTCAAAGAATTCTATCTATACCCATAGAAGGTGAGAGTTTTTTTCTAGTCTTGGACTTTTTGTTACTAAAATAAGAAGTTCTTAAAAAAACCTTAGATGCACTAACTTTTTAAAGCAAACTATGAAAAGTACTAATTGATATTATTTACTTTTGTAATAATTAATGATGATAAACAAGTAAATACTCTTACACATACTTTGTATTACTTTTGTGTGTTTTAACATAACTAAAAAAAAGTTCAAAAAAGTTTGAACTTTTTTAAGTAATAGTTTGAACATGTTCAAGTTCAAACTTTTTAAAAAAAGTTCTAACTGCAAGCCCTACATTCAAGTGACAAATACGTTACTTGATTTTTGTTGTAACCAAAATCAAACTTTTTATGAGTCCAAATAAAAAGTTCCTCAGGATTTTCTCCAGTTTCTCCCAAGATACCTTAAATATAAAATAAAAAAACAAAAAAATTATTTTTCTTTATATTTATGCCATGAAAATCCTTTTCAAAACATCTTGATATTTAATGAAAATAATTAAAACTTATTACATTTAAGTTACTTAATATTTCAATGTTAAAGTTACATGGTTAACTTAATTAAATAACATAAAATGTTTTATAAATAAAATAATTCAAAATAAACATACCCCAAACTGGTAAATCATCTAGAAAAAAAAAGTTCTAATTTTATACAACAAACTTGTTACTACTTATCATTAAAGTTACTACTTATCATTTAACTAGAATAATCTCAAAAAATTGACAAATTTACTGAGTCTATGTTTATCTAAAAAACTTACCTATGTACATTTGATACCAATAGCGATTGCGAAGTGCATATTCAAAAGCACGATAGTCTGATTCACTAAGTTTTACACTGCAAAACTTTGAAAGCATAACATCATCTATAATTTAATATGTATGTGTATGTAATTTTTTCTAATTCTGAGGGTTGCATATATATATATATATATATATATATATATATATATATATATATATATATATATATATATATATATATATATATATATATATATATATATATATATATATATATATATATATATATATATATATATATAAGGGTGTCCCAAAAAACAACTTTTTTAAAAATAATCTGCTCAAGTCCCTCAAGACCCTCGAATATTTAATGGGTCCCTAATATTTTCAAAAAAAAAGTTTTTTGAAAATATTAGGGACCCATTAAATATTGTCAAACCTGGTACTCAAATGAACCGAAATTATATAAAAATTTCAAAAATAATGTTTATTTCGGGAAAAACAATACGTACTTAAACAATACTTTTTTTTTTAACAAAATCGGCGATTTTTTTTACAGAAAATTGTTTTTTGTTTTGGCAAATATTGTATATTTTAAGAATAAATATCAGAAATATATTAAAAATTTTGAATAAATACCAAAAATATACTAAAATTCATGTTATTTTTTCAACCAAAGTAAATTTCTGAATAAATATACAGAAATATATTTCAGTTGAAAAAATAAATAAAGTACAAAGATTGCAGTAGTTATTATTCAGAAAAATCTGCCATTGCCTTCAGTATTTTTGTCACACACACACACACACACACACACACACACACACACACACACACACACACACACACACACAATATAGGGAAACATAAATAAATCATCTTGAGAAACTAAATTTTAAACTTTACAATATAATTTTAAGTCCACTAAATTCAAGAAAACAAACATACTTTTAAATTTTACATCAAGTCCACTGAATTCAAGCTCAACTCCTTGCAATGCTTCTCCAAGTGTTTCATGATAGTGACTAATAGTTGTTTTAGTTCCCTTACAAAATGGGAGAGAATAATATTCATATGTTTCTTGTCTATTATGATAGGGCCCAATTGTATTCATCCAGACAATTACTTCTTCATCATCTTCATACTAAAAACAAGAAATAAATTTTAATCAGATAATAAATTATAATTGATAAAAAAATACCAGCACTGGGATTCTGCCTTAAAAAAAATTATTTAATTAAAATGACTTAAGTTGATCATGCTGCAATTTATAAGTTATATATACCATAATATCTATAAAAAGAATAATATTTATTTTTCTTTATTTATTTACAGTTTAATTATTTTAATTAGACCTGGCTTACTGTCAATTTTCTAATTACAATTGTTTTTAGTTGTTAATTAAGTTACAAAAAGCCACAGCTTTGTTAGATGAGTATCTATACACAACTCATATGTCAAATCTATACCCTACTCATATGTCGGCCACTTTTGTGTGGCATTTACTGTAAATGATGAGCTGTAGTAACTACAATGGCTGAAAACTGTCTAGTAGTTGTTTAAATTTATCAACTAATGTTACCTCAATGACATTATCTGGCAAAACTTTCCAGTCATTGACTACACGGTTGTTAAAAAATTATGTCTGATTTCGCAGCTCCTGACTATCTCGCGATGAAATCTGATTCGATGTCAAGCTCTGGGTGCTATGCTGCAAGGCATTATGTGCCAATCAATTAAGTTTAAATTTGAGAAGCTTATATTTTTGAATAAGATCTTTTCCACCTGTCTTCAAGGGTGGTTAACTTCATGATGTTACATCGAGTTTTGTAGTCTTTATTTTTCAAAGCTTAAGGAACTTTTGTTGTGCTGCGTTGTACCTTTTTAATTTTTTATATAACTATCAAAGAAGGGTTAAATATGACAAAGAGCATTGGTCCTAACACAGAACCTTAGGGAACCCTGCTAGTTACATCAATCCAATAAGATTTTAAATCTTCAAGTATAACATGCTGCTTGCGATTTGTTAAGAAGGTTTTTATCCAGTTTAGAAGATTGCCATTTATACCATACATTTCATTTCAGGTCAGGTCAGGTTTTCCTGCTACTGGTAACATGTAACCCAGTACAACCTGCTCCATGTCCTGCTGCCTTGTAGGATACGCTTTTTTAGGCAAAGGCTAGGAGAAGTTAACTCCGAATTAAAACACCCCCTGCCTTGGGGCTCTTGGTTGAGTAAAGGCTAGAGATGGTGTCTCGATAAAAATACTCATCTTGGGCAGATGTTACATGCATCCAGCTGCTGTCTTGTAGAAGGCCTCCTAGGCAAAGACTTAAGGGGTAAACAGATTCTATCTGTTGACCAGCCTCGCACCCCTTCCTCATCTATTAGGCTGGCGCAGATGTATTTTTAATACATTGTTTCCAGTTTAGGATGTTGAACGCTGGATCTTCTTGACTCAATGCGTGGGTATTGCTTGTGTCTCTATTTTTATGACTGGGCAACTCATTCTATTATCTCCTTATGAGGGTACAGCTCTAAAACTCAGTTTTATGGTTCTGAGGCCGGCTGGTCGTCAGGTTTCCCGAACTCTGTGGTAGCTCTCAGAGAGGCTGATTCCATCAACAGCCGAAAAATATCAGAGTACTAACAGTGCCATGTTGCGCATGGATGGTGTCCCTGTTTGTACTTTTGGTGTGCATTGCAGAGGCCACATTTGGAGCCCTTTGTTACGGCTTAGGGTTTATTAATAGTAATGAGGCTATTGCTTAGTTGATAAATAGTGTACTGAGTACTATCTATACTTGAGTCAAGTTCTTTATAAATTTAAAATGACTAAAGTACCTAAAACTAAAAAACACAAAAAACCATCGTCATCACCAAGTTCTCTAAACCTATCATTTACTAATATTCGTGGTCTTCGAAGTAACTTTTCTTCTGTTGAGTCTTATCTCTTGCAAAGTTCACCAGACCTACTTGCTCTTTGTGAGACTAATTTGAGTTCGGCTGTCCCATCTTGTGATCTTAGTGTTGATGGTTATCTTCCTTTAATTCGTAAAGACTCCAATAATCACATGCTTGGTCTGGGCATCTACATTCGTAAGAACTCACCCATTTGTCGTGAAACTAGGTTTGAATCTACAGACTATTCATTTATGTGCTTTCGTTTAGCACAACTTCACTCTATCGCCTTTCTCTTTGTTCTATATCGCTCTCCTTCATCCCAAGATTGCACTATTCTTGATGTTATTTCTGATCAAATTGACCAAGCCCTCTCTCTTTATCCATCGGCCAATATCGTCGTTGTTGGTGACTTTAATGCCCACCACACCGATTGGCTTGGCTCTAGTGTCAGTGACTCTGCTGGCGTTAAGGCCCTCAACTTTTGCCTTTCTCAATCTCTAACTCAAATAGTCAACTTTCCAACTCGTTTTCCAGACAACCCCAATCATTTACCTTCTCTACTCGACTTATGTCTTGTTTTGGATCCTAGTCAGTGCTCAATTTCTCCACATTCACCCTTAGGTACTTCTGATCACGGTTTGATCTCTCTAAAACTATTATCAAATTCTTCTACTTCATCAGAATCCCCCTATCATCGTACCACATACAACTACCTTAAAGCTGACTGGGACTCTTTCCGTGATTTTCTTCGTGATGGCCCTTGGGTAGAAATCTTTCGTCTTCCTGCTGACAAATGTGCTTCTTACATAACTTCGTGGATTCAGGCTGGCATGGAATCTTTTATTCCCTCTCGACGATTTCAGGTCAAGCCTCACTCTTCTCCTTGGTTTTCCTCACATTGCGCTGCAGCAATTTCTAATCGAAACCATTACTTCCATATCTATCAGCAAAACAATTCTCCAGAAAACAGACATCTGTTCACTATCGCCAGAAACCATTGTAAAAAGGTTTTGTCTGACGCCAAAGCTCGCTATTCCCAGGTCATTAAATCTCGTATCTCATCACAAAAATTAGGCTCTCGAGACTTCTGGAGAATCTTTAACAGTATCAATAATAAGGGCAAATCTGTTATTCCTTCTCTCTTGTATGGTTCAGACTTTGTCACCTCACCTAAAGACAAAGCTGAATTGTTTGCTAAGAACTTTTCATCAATATCATCTCTTGATTCCACTAGTTGCGTTTTACCTGACATAGCCGTCAAACAGGTTGATCCCTTGCTTGACATTCGCATCACTTCAGCTTCTGTATCTAAAGTAATTTCCTGCTTAGACTCTTCAACAGCTTGTGGTCCTGACAACATTCCTGTTGTAGTCTTGCAGAGGTGTTCTCCTGAGCTTTCATCCATACTCTCTAAACTATTTAACAAGTGCTTATCAGAGTCTTGTTTTCCATCATGCTGGAAAGCAGCATCTGTTATCCCTATTTTCAAAAATTCCGGAGAGCGATCTGATTCATCTAACTACCGTCCCATTAGTCTTCTTCCTGTCATAAGCAAGGTTTTTGAATCTTTAATCAACAAACACTTAATCTCTCATCTTGAATCAAATAACTTACTTTCTGATCATCAATATGGATTTCGGTCTTCTCGTTCTACAGCTGATGTGCTAACAGTAATAACCGATAGGTTTTACCGTGCATTAGATAGAGGTGGAGAGGTTAAGGCTATCGCACTTGACATTTCTAAAGCATTTGATAAAGTTTGGCATGCTGGTCTTCTCCATAAGCTTTCTTCTTATGGTGTAGCTGGTAACGTCTTTAAGATTATTGAGTCCTTTCTTTCCAATCGTAGTATAAAAGTTGTCCTCGATGGACAACACTCTTCTTCACATCTTGTAACTTCAGGGGTTCCTCAAGGTTCAATCCTTGGCCCTATACTCTTTTTAATTTACATTAACGATCTTCCAGATATTCTCACATCTAAGGTGGCATTATTCGCCGACGACACTACCATTTACTCTTGTCATGATAAGAAGCCTACACTCTCTGATTGCTTGGAGGGGGTATCTGAGCTTGAAAAGGATCTCACTTCTGCTACAGCATGGGGCTCACAGTGGCTGGTGAACTTTAATTCAGATAAAACTCAATTTTATTCGGCCAATCGTTATCGTAATAATTTAGATCTTCCTATATTTATGAATGGTAATGTACTAGATGAGTCATCTACCATTCATCTTCTAGGATTAACTCTTACTTCTGATCTTTCTTTTAAACCGTATATCAAATCCATTGCAAAATTAGCATCTGCTAAGGTTGCATCTCTTTATCGAGCTCGACACTTTCTTACTCCAGATTCTATTCTCTATCTCTATAAATCTCAAATCCGTCCCTGTATGGAATACTGTTGCCACATCTGGGGCGGATCTTCTAATGATGCTCTTTCTCTTTTAGACAAGGTGCAAAAACGAATTGTAAACATAGTTGGACCTGCTCTGGCAGCCAATCTCCAACCTTTGTCACATCGTCGTAATGTTGCTTCTCTTTCTCTTTTCTACAAATACTATAATAGGCACTGCTCTAAAGAGCTAGCGTCCCTTGTGCCATCTACTAAAATTCATTCTCGTGTTACTCGCCATTCAATTAAGTCTCATCCTTTTTCTGTGACTGTTCCTAAGTGCTTCAAAAACTCTTATTCTTCTAGTTTTTTTCCTCGAACATCAGTTCTTTGGAATTCGCTTCCTTCATCTTGCTTTCCTGATTCATATAATTTGCAATCTTTTAAGTCATCAGTCAATCGTTATCTTGCTCTACAGATTTAGTCTTTTCTCTTCCAGTAACTTCCAACTCTTATAGTGGTTGCTTGCAGCCTTGTTGGAAGTGAAGATGTTAAAAAAAAAAAAAAAAAAAAAAACATTTCAAGCTTTTGCAGCAATCTTACATGCAAAACTTTATCAAATGCCTTTGCAAAGCCAAGAAAAATTAGGTCGACTGGTTTTTTCTTTGATTTGCTATGAGTTAAAAAGTCCATTGTTTTTAAAAGATTTGTGATGCAAGTCTTTTTTGAAAAAAAACCATGTTGAGTTTTGGAAAGCAATTTGTTATTTACCAAATGATCAATTAGGACTTGCCTAACTATTTTTTCCATAAGGAACAGAAGTGAGCCATATTGGCCTGTAATTGGCTGGATCTGTTCTGCTAACTAGCTATTAGCTCTGAGCCAAGATAATGGAACCTTTCCAGATTTTATTGAAAGTTTAATTAATATTTAGATAGTTAATTGTGTAATTCATAATTAGTTTAACATTTAGTTTTATTGTCTGATTTTTTTTAATTAAATAAAATTCCAGAAAATGAAGGTGCATATGTTCTAAAATTTATATTTACGTTAAACTCGTAATAACAAAATTGGAATTTTGATACAAAACATGAAAATTACTACTAAAATGTTGGCTAGTTGTATCAATAAAGTTTTTATGCGACTAATGTTATTTTTTATGCAAACCATTTTTGTCATAAAAGGTCAATCAAACTTTTATATAAACAATGTAAGAATAATAAAAGATACTTGTGAAACATGTTTAAGAGCATTTCAAAAAAAAAGATGAGGGAAAAAAATTAGCTATTAACTTTTTTGACTTCTCAGCAGTAAAAGTCAAAACATCTATTGTTGATAAAAACTAGAACTGTCTAATTTGACTAGTTAGGTAAAAGAATAATAGTATATAAATTTGGTCTAACATAATTAATTTGTATTCAGCTTATTGCATTCAGCTACAATTATATAACAAAGCATGCTCGATTTTTTTTAGCATTTTGGAAATCCAATCAATCTTTCAAGTTTTTAGAATCATTATTACCTTATGGCTTGCAATAAGCAATTAGGTAATAATGATTCCAATAAAATAAAACCAATAAAATCTATGCATTATGCATATGCATATGCAAGAGTATCATTAGAAATTGAGAATTATCATAAAAATTTTCAATAAAATCAGATCAGTTTTTTTCACACATAACAATTTATTGAGATAAGAATAAAACTTCTTTAGGCAAACAAGCAATAAAATCTATGCATTATTTTAGTTAAAAAATATTACTTCTTTAGTTAAAACCGGTGCTGCGATTATGATTTTTATATATCACTTTGTTTGTGTTCACCTTCTTTATTTCTTTATTACACGAAGATAAGTAGCTGATTTAAAATCTTGGTATAATAGGCATTCCTTTAAATACATTATTTAGCAGTGGATGCTAAGAAAAACTATTTTTTTAGTATTATAATAAACCTAACTTGCAAATACTAGACTTATTGTAAATATTTTTTGAAAACTGTTTAAAGTATTTTAAACATTAGATAACTTTATTTTAGTAATTTTTGTTTTAGCAGTTATTAAATGTTTAAAATACTTCAAACAATTTTTAATCTATAATTACAAAAACATAGTATTTAAAAAATTAAAATAATTAAATTACACTAAAAAATTAATTATGCTTTATAAACGCTTGCATGTTCGTCTTGTAGTCGAATAGTTATTGTCTAGAGTAATTACCCAGTGTTCAACACCCCTTCCAGTCTTCAACGTTAAATCACTAAAAAATAGGCTGAGCAAACACTAATTGAAGTAAAGTGCCAAAATAGAGTCTGAAATGATCACCCTTTATATATGAAGGAAGTTTGGCTTTGTAAACATAAAAATAAACGCATACAATGATTTGGAGCAAAAAAGCCTCTGTAAATACCCTTAACTCTTAAGAAAAATTTTCATAACTGTTTCCAGATAACCACAAGAAACGCATGACAAATGTAAAATGACAAATAGATGAAACAGATGTACAATCATTTAAAATCAAATGAATGAATAGAAAATGGGGGGGGGGTAGAAGGGGTGTCAAAGACTTGAAGCAATTTATTATGTTTTCCAGTATTCGAAAAAAATAATAATAATAAAAAATTGGCTTATTATTATTATTATTTTATCATATAATAAGGGTTTAATGTTTGAAAGTAACACTTTTATAAGTTATTTTTCGTCTTGCAGTAGAGAAAGTATTTGTTTAATAAGCATTTGTGATGATCCATTTGATTGAACCCTATGACTTTCAGTCAGCACACTTTTTAACCACCCATGAACGGCTACTGAATTGGTGAATACTGATAGAAACTTCATGTCCCACTTAGCGGCTAGGTTTATTCCATGCACCACAGCATCTAATATTCATGACATCCTTATTACTTTGAAGTCAGGCTGCATCCTCAATTAATACACTATCGTATTCAATAGAAACATTGCCATACTACTTGCATCACACCATAATGTTGTTGCTTTTTGTAATCCCTTCAGCATTCCATTTGATCTTCGATTAGATTATCCCAACCATCTCCAACAGTATAGCATCCTAATACTGTTGGAAATTGGTTACCTCTTTAATTACCAATTTATAATAAGCCAAACCGTTTACAACATTTTCAACTGTCTTTTTCAAATTAATGATTATGTAGTTGATGTAGTAGTCAGTTGCTTCACTAATGCCTGCATCAAAATTTAGCACTCTGTCTAGGATTGAAGACATCGTTTTAAGGGTAGAACTTAACCCAAAACCAAGATATGTAAGATAATATTTTATTTCTTATTAGACTACCCTAACTGTCATTAACAGTTCTCTATCTTCTTACTGTTTCATCACATGCATCACTTTATGATTAATTGGGCATAGTTTCTGATTAATTGGGCATAGTATGGCTAAAATATTAGCCATACTATATACAATTATTCAAAGTGTACTTAATAGTTACTGATAAAAAAAAAATGGAATAATTTACAAAAAGATTAAGAAAAATATTGTATTGGAGGAGCCAAAAAAATGTTTGACAAGTATAAAAGTAAACCTTCTTGATTAGCAAAAAGTCAGTTTCTGTCTAGATATATTAGAATTGGCATTGAAAAAGGAACTTGGTTTTAATTCATTAAAATCAAATATGAATTTTAAACTACAATCTTATGATTTGATTATATTTGAGGCAAAAAAACAACTAATGATTAACAATGTAAAACGTAATAAATTAGGCGGCTTTAATAAATTTCATCCTAACAAGCTAGATTCATTTAGGGACACTATTGTAAGTTTTGATAACTCCAAGTTTGAATACTTAAATTTTAAAAAACACAAGATTTAAAAAACATAAGAAGATTTAAGTTCAAATCAACGACCAGAAAATTATTGCTTTTTTTTTTTTTTTACTTCTTATATAAAATTAAATATAAAAATTATAATTTTTAACAAACTTTATTAGATTTTTAAAACTTTTTTAAGTGTGAGACTATGATAAACAATGTACCTTGTAATCATGTTCGTCGCCTTTAACATGAGCAAAAAAATATATCATTAATCCAAAACATACAACAAAAAATCTGCTCATTTTTCAGGAATAAACTATGATTGTGTTATTTAAAGAGATCGAACATAACACATAAATCATAAACGACGATAGTAATTAAATGCATAATAAAGGTATAAGATTGAAAGAGCCATGGTGGAGTAACTCTTCTTCGGATAGACTCTTTTTTATCCACGTATTTTGCGCGCCCACTGCGCCTAATAAACTTTACAGCGGTTTTAAGACGGAACAGGGTTTAAATAATCTTACGCAAGTTACATAATTTTTTAAAAAGAAGCTCCGAAACGCGAGCTTTCGTTAATTTGATGCCATTTTACATAGCTTATATTTTTATAAAGTAATTAGAAAAATAAATGCTGCTTTTTGTTCGCTTACTTAAAAGTTGCAAAATAATTAGGCTAGCATTACAAATCCTTCTGTGAAATCATGACTGTAAACAACGTGAATGCCTTTTTTGATTAACTAATACTTCAGTTTTTAATTATGTTCTAATTTTTTATTTAATGAATATATATATATATATATATATATATATATATATATATATATATATATATATATATATATATATATATATATATATATATATATATTTTTCTTAAATGATAGACTGTCTACCCAAAACAAACCCTCAGTCCATGTAGCAGCACTCCGTCGCGAGTCAGGCTATAAGATAGTCGATGTAGCAACGCTCCGCGCATGTTTTAATAATATATTTTCACAAAACATCAACAAAAACACCGTTAATTAAAAAACACTTTCTAAGTCATTGGTATTGCGGTTTTTTTAAAAAGCAATAAAATTTAATGTACTTCCGCATTAATTTAATTGCTTTGACTTTTCTAAGGTGAGTTTCCACTCATCCAGAAACGGGATTGGAAAGGCAAAAATAATCACGTGAGCATGCGCAGTTTTACTTCGGACAAATTAAAACTTAGAATACGCATGCCAATGTGATTGTTTTTTCCGTTCCCGCGTAAAAACGGATGAGTGGAAACTCACCTTAAGAGACGAGGTAAAAAAATCGAGACTTATATATATATATATATATATATATATATATATATATATATATATATATATATATATATATATATATATATATATATATATATATATATATATATATATATATATATATATATATATAAATTAATATAAAATAATTAAATTAATTTAAATCAAATTATTGTTATTTACCTCAATTTTTTTTAATTAAAAAAAAACTTAATGCCAGTTTTTTTTTGGACTAATTGTTTATATATATATATATATATATATATATATATATATATATATATATATATATATATATATATTTATATATATATATATATATATATATATGTATATAATTAATATAAAATAATTAAATTAATTTAAATCAAATTATTGTTATTTACCTCAATTTTTTTTAATTAAAAAAAAACTTATTGCCAGTTTTTTTTTGGACTAATTGTTTATATATATATATATATATATATATATATATATATATATATATATATATATATATATATATTATATATATATATATATATATATTATATATATATATATATATATATATATATATATATATGTATATAATTAATATAAAATAATTAAATTAATTTAAATCAAATTATTGTTATTTACCTCAATTTTTTTTAATTAAAAAAAAACTTATTGCCAGTTTTTTTTTGGACTAATTGTTTATATATATATTATATATATATATATATATATATATATATATATATATATATATATATATATATATATATATATATATATATATATATATATATATATATATATATATATATATATATATATAAAGTTAGATGTTATGTTGTCTTTAACAAATGTTTGTGTTTTATTTGTTGTAACCGAGCAATTTATTGAAAAATCATTTCAATCGTAATTTGCATTCTAATTTCTTTTCTGCTTAGAGCAAACACCAAATGTTTTTGTTTGATTTACGCAAAAACCTGATTTAAAATGATATTTTGCAAAAAAATGCTTTACTCTTTATGATATTCGGCTAAGTAAAGTTTATTTTAAAAGATGAATCGGATCGTGCGTCTAATAATGAACCCACAAAATTTATGTAGAGACAATTTTATATTTTAGAATATTGTTAGATGTAATTCTACTTGCTCTTAAGGTTTTAACTTTTTTTTTTTTAATTTAGTACTCATCTGATATTAACAAATTACGGAACAAATTTTTTGCTTTCCCGGATTGCATGTATTTTAATCAAAATTTTAAATATTATCAGATTAATTTTAACATCTTTTTACATCCAAGAGTTTAATTCATAAGTATAATGATCTTAGTTACTTCTTATATGGATCAACCTTTTTTTAAGCAATACAAAAATAACAAGTTACAGTAGAACATTAGGACCTGCGATTTTTATTTTTATGTCTTAATAAAATGTTTTATGTTATATAGTGCTACGGTTTTTTAATTTTTGTTATTATATATTTACGATATAGATTAAAAGCCTGCTAAATTCTAATAAAATTTCTAATAAAAATGTTTTTTAAAAGCATATTTATCAAAACCTTTTGTATAAACAAAAGTCTAAAAGATGATATGTAACAACTTTTTTAGCATAGAATCTTCAAATATCGCAAGTAAGAAGACTTTTTATTTAGTACGAAGACTTGGTACATTGACTTAGTTTCGTTTAGTTTATTTCAGTTGTCAATAATTTAAAATATTTACAACTATCCGTAGGAATTTTTCAAGTTTTGAAAAAATAAAAAACAATGATTGCTACGTTTTATTTAATAATTATTAACGAAGATGTGCTGTATAAGGTCCCTCTGTACTAACAGTCTTTGATACTATTGCACATCTGTCTCACAAATAGCCTACAGTAAAAATATATTATAGGAAATTATGCATATATGCTTCCCTTTCACTAATTTAAATATTCATCCAGATAATTTTTTAAAATGTTAACCGAGGTTGCTTCGATTACTCCGTGCCACAGGGTATTCCACTGGGACACAACACGATTTATAAAAATATTTTCTCTCTGCATGCATTCAATTTCTCGTTGTTGTGCCAATCGTTAATTATGACCTCGCATATTGTAGTTTGATAATGGGCGACTCAGTAGTACGTGGAAGTTTATTTCTTCAATTTTTTGCTTGTATTTAAAATCTGGATTAAATTTTCTCTCTTACATCTCTCTTCGAAAGTCTTGAGGCCTAACATCTTCTCTGCTCAGAGATTTAATGTTTAATAGAAGAAATTGTTTTGGTAACACGGTTTTGGAATTTCTCCAGCGCGTCTATGTCTTCTTGTTGGTATGGTGACCACGCCTGGATGGTGTACTCAAGGTGAGATCGAACATATGTGGTGTACAGTTCTTTCGATTTTGGTAAACATCTCTGTTATTAGATGCTTTGAGTTCAAACACTTCTAAAATATTAGTGTTGAGAGCTTCCAATTGCCTGACACTTAAACTTTTAGAAACGAAGTTTAAAAAATAAGTGTTAGTGAAGCGTTATAAGAAGTTAGTTTTTGGGTGGATAGCATTAAGTTTTTACAGTTGGTTAGTTAGAGCATCAAACAAATAGTTAAAACCCGGACTGTTGTACAATATAAATCCTGCCACCGCCAACTCAGCGCCAACTCAGCGCCAATTCACCGCCAACTCAGCGCTTGAGTAATACTTTGGTACGCAAAAATGTTGGTCAATAACGGACGCTACTTTGGATTAGTCTTAATGACTATTTGTGGCTGTTCCTA